TTATTTTTTTTTTTTTATTCGTCACAAGTGTTTGTATAAGAATTGTAAGGAAGTAATTTATTATGTGTTTTTGTTGAACTTTGTTGCACGTTACCTGTAAAATCAGAAACTTTTTAATTATACAGTCAAAAAGCGACTTTTATTCTTTTAACTAAACAATTGAATGATGTAATCGATAACAGGCTGGTTGAAAATTTTTTCAATACTAACATTAATCACAAATAGCAATGCGTTGGTAAATTAATAAGTAAAATGAAAAAAAGTATCAAAGTGGAAAATACTCTGCTTTGTTGATAATCTGCGACAAAAAAAGCTTTTCCAAGTCTTGATGCTAAATTTCGTGGTACGATTGTTTGTATTTTATATTTCCATGAGTGACAAAATCACTATTTGAGTTACAAAGTAAATGTTAAACAAATAAGACAACGTGAAAATGGTTTTAGTTGGTTTAGTGTCCACGCATGTCAGTGTGTGTGATTGTGTGCGCACGCGAAAAGAAGTACACTTATACATATATCTTAAAAAATTAATATTCAATCGGGTTATAATTTCCATACTACACTCTAACCCTTAAGAATCAGTTAGATTATCAACCTTTAAAAAAAAAAACTTTGGTTTTTTTTTCTTATAGCTTTTAAACTTGATTACAAGTGCAACAAAAACTGCGAGAAAAAAAGTGGTTTTTCGTTATGGTAGTAAAAAATTAGTGTACTTACACACAATTTTGTAGAAGAACAAAATTCAAATCTTTTGGTAGTTGAAAAAGATTATTTCATAATTTAAATAAAATGACTTGGGTCACGTTTAAAAATATTCAACAGTAATACTATTTCAAGACTGAAGTCTAGCGCTGTCATATTTTTTAAAAAATTTTCTGGCAAATCACTCTGATGAGGATTATTTTACAGCTTTTACAAAAAGTGATGAAAAAATATGTAAAGATTTCACCAAAGTAATAATGTAAACAATGTTTAATATAATTTTCACACGGATATTTAAAAATTCAAATATTTTCAATATTGGGTGACTTTAATTGCTGAAAGCTGAAAGCACGACCAAGTATATAATCAGTATACCTGCACCTTTGTTATTAGGTTTGACCAAGTTGTATGATTAATTTCAGTAAGAAGCAACAAGGTTGTTCACGCTTTAATATCATGTCTCTCGACCACTCTGGCGGGAAAATAATCCAGCGCGAGAGAGGAGAAAAAAAAAAAAAAAAAAAAAAAGTTCCTACCGAGTTAGCAGCAACACGATGATAACAATAATATAAATATGTATACCTAATGTACGGGCGTACGTATGTGCAGAGAGGCAGATTGGCCCTGAGGATGGAAGAGCGTGGCCATCGCCGGTATCACCGTCACCATCACGACTATCACCAAGGCCCACGGCTCATAAGCATCAACGAGCTCGTGTTCCCCTCGCTATCGAGTCACTGAGGCCCCGCTAGAGTATACATATAGACATGCAACAACAGCAGCACCAGCAGCAGCAGCAATCGTCAGGAACTCCAAATGGGTTGGCCGGTGGGGCTCAGATGCCTCAAAGCCCGGGGCATCAGCAGCAGGGGCCGGGTGGGGCGAGAGCGCAAGTCAACGGCGGGCGCTTTGACTTTGACGACGGGGGCACGTACTGCGGTGGCTGGGAGGACGGCAAGGCTCACGGTCATGGAGTTTGCACGGGACCTAAGGGACAGGGGGCCTACTCCGGCAGTTGGCATTACGGCTTCGAGGTCTCCGGTGTATACACTTGGCCCAGGTAAGCGGCTAACATCAATACAATCTTCTTTCCAATCGTCATACATCGACATACTTATACTTTTCAAAAAAACGATACGTGGACCATGTGCCAAACTTCAATAATGCATACGCACAAATCTAAATCTTTTGTATATAGGGGGTGTATACACTTTAATTTGCTGTTACTATATACGTACAAGTGTATTTTTAGCCTATATACCTAGTTATGTCGTCTCTTATTGATTTTAGATATCAAGCCTCAATTAAACAATATGATGAAGAATAATCAGGATTATTGCCTTTGTTTGTTTGTTTGTTTGTTTGTTTTACATTATTAATAACTCGTTTGATAAATCGCTATTGACGCGCGTCATTCATCAGCTTGCGAATAGGTATTTATTCATTTTCAATGGACGAATCACGTCAATTTTATAGCGCTACTTGGAAAACTTGACTTGAGAAAATTTTGGCTCTCTCGATTCGCACCTACCTTAATACCATATATACTACACAGCTATAAGTAGGTACTGATTGACCGATATACATAAACAATATACCGTAACCTGCAGGCAATCTCGAATGTCGAACGATATTCAGTTTATCGAAACATGGAATCAGACCCTGTAGGTGCTGCCGCTTTTGTTTTTTTACACAGACGTGGGTATTTTTTTTCCTTGAACATAATCGGGTAAGGACCATTTTTCAATCATGAAAAATCTCGTTTCAAGCTTCCAAGCCTCTCGATGGCCCACTCGCGTTCGTTTTGCGCTTATGGGAGTATTTTGCGCAGGTGGTGTGCCGGGGACCTTGACACGTTTTTCAGATTGAGAAAGAGGGAGGAAATACTCACGGGAAAAGGTATCCTGATGTGACGGTGAAAGCGGGTCACCAGTAGCAAGGACAATCCACGTGGCAACGGGAATGACGAGAGAGAGATAGAGAGTCCAGGTCACTGGGACTCCAACACTCGTCGGCTGATACACCGGGAATACTTATGTGAGAGCACGTCTGGTTCAAGGCCACCGGTCTCTTTTCCCTCGTGCTTTCTCGGAAACATCCGCCTCGACTAAGCCGCTCGAAAGAAAGAGTAGATTCTCCCACCCTCCTCTCGTTGGGCAGTATGCCGCGTCGTATAACATACCTACCTATATTTACAGTAATGGACGTTAAAAGAAAAGGTACGAATAGCGACGCGAGTTGCCTAACTTTTTTGCAACCCTAGAAACAAAATAATTTGAGACGCAACGAATGAAAAGGTGATTTCGAGTAATGTACATATTATCATTATTATTATTATTATTATTGTTATTATTATTGAACAAAAATAATAATAATAATAATGATAATATGTACATTATTATTATTATTAATATTATTATTATTATTTCTTTTTTCCCCTCTAGCACAGTGATTGTGCTTCTTCGGGCCCAAAGAGTAGAGCTGCACTGCAGATAGTTGATCAAGA